GAAGTCACACTGCTCGTTTGGAATCGTAGCTCTGCCACTTTCACTAGCTGTCTTTCTGCCTTGATGTTTCCCTGTCCGCAAAAATGGCTGCAGTAACAGGTGTACCCGCCGTCCAGGGTTACCATAAGGATTCAGGGAGAACAGTGTCTAGATCTTAACAAGCCGCGTTTTAAGAGTTTGTTAAATAAATCCTCATTTTGCTCAAATGATCCAGAAGTTGTCCAAGGTTAGGTACAGGAAGTAAGAGACAAAGTTGCACAGCCTGGTGCTGCGAGTCCCACTCTTGAAGTCTTGAGTGCCTCAGAAAGCTTTCTGGGCACCTGCAACTAGTGAGTGCCCTATCCTCTAATTCCGTATGCTGTTCTTCAAAGAGCACGAACTAATTATTTTATAGGTTTAGACTTAGATTTCTGCGGATTTCTAACCTCTTCACCCCTACTGCCATGAGACAGGGACTAACCCTGTTTGTGTTATTCCATCCTTGGTTAGGTACTCAATCAATAAAGGTTGCTTTAAAGTCAAGAACTGAGCTTTGGAAGAAGTTACCACGTAAATCTAATATGACTGTATCGTTAGCTCTGCCCAGTTAAAAAATGTATCCATTTTTATCGGTGAAAACAGTCCGTCAACATTCAAGTCTTTCTACCAGTTATTTTAATTGAACGTGTGTCGAGTCAGAAGACTATTGAATGGATTTCCATCAGGGGTGCTGTTTGGAACAGTTCTATTAAATAAGAGCTTCGGTGGCCACTGACTGTTGAATAGTTGGTGATCAGTTAACCTCTGCTAATTTTTGGCCCCTTAAACGCCGCAGGCTCAGGAGTGATGTTCCACTGACGTAAATTTTACAGTCGGGTCTCGTTTTACTTTAGCTTTGCCGATTGAATGTTTCCTTGTTCAAAGTGGTGACTTCTCCAATCCATTTGGCTCATTGAATTGCTGTGCAAAATAGAAGATGTCAGTGGCATCCCCTGATAGTTTATTTCCTGTCAAAACTCCGGCGGGCAGGCGGATTTTTCGTAAAATTAATAGCAGATGTATATCAAAAGGACATAAATAACAGACTAGGACAAGAAAGGCTTCTTAAGGGACAAAAGAATATATGTTAAGGGACATGCATATATGCTGTAATTATTAAACTGC